GCAATTGATCGCATGCGACTGTCATGCGCATCTCGTCAGTAAAGCCGGTTCCGTGATTAGTAGTAAATCTCTATCACCTGCTTTCAGATGGAGCGGCATTTACTACACAGAGCCGTAGTTCACTGACAAGCTAGGCGATTTCGCGTTCATAATCGAATGAGATTCATCTGCAATTATGAACAATATTGCCTAATTGTCAGTGAACTACGGCTCTGTTTGGTGAATGCCGCTCCATCTGAAAGCACGTGCTGGAGATTTACTACTAATCACGGAAACAGCTTTACTGACGAGATGCGCATGACAATCGCATGCGATTAATTGCACAGCCCTACTGTACTGTATTCTTTATTTCATTTGTCAAAAACTTAATTGTTTATTTTTATAAAAAAAAACAAAAGGTTATTTTGCATTTCAAACAAAGCAAAGACAATGCAAAACCTTTTTATCACCAGCTAACTAAAAAGAAGCTTTAGTGAATTTACATTACTATACTACTTATTTTACTAGTAATGAAACATGCATCGCTAATTTTGTCTACGAATTACATATATATAGCATTTTTTATTTATGTATTGGTCAAAAAAAAAAAAAAAAAGCCAAATTGATTAGACATCACTCATTATTTTTCCCACTGAAATGAGTGGATAACTAGACAAACTGAACCAAGCTCAAATTATGACTCATCGCAGACTGTGTTTGACAGATTACAGGTTGTGCCATTTGTGCCATATTTACCTGTCAGACCAGAAGGAAGCTGCGGTCCATCTTCATCACTATCATCCTCCTCAGCTGAACCCTCTTTGTCATCATTTCCATTCTCTGGCACCTCTTCACATTCCTCCTCCTGTTTTTCATCCTTCTGTTGCTCTTCTTCTGTTGTCTCTTTAACTTCATCCTGCTTTTTGACCTTTTTCACACCTAAAGGACCAGATCCATTATTTAGTGTATGTGCATACATCTCAAATGCTATAATTAAATTGCATATATAGCAGTCTCCTCTCCAGTTACAAATATTAGCCAATGACATTCCCATAGTGACCAACCACTAATTAAACAACATATTCACAGCAATATTTCCTACTTACTAGATGTTGAGTCCCCTGTACCATCCAATTTTCTTTTCTTTTTCTTCTTCTTGATTTTCTGTGAGGTTTCGTTGTCCTCAGTGGAGACGCTATTCTGCTGCTCTTCAGTGACATTTGAAGCAGAATCACTGGTCACTTCAGATTCCTCCAGCTCAGTCTTCAGCTCTGCCAGATCGCAAACACATGCAGCACATTTCATCAACTCCGACGCACACTCAATATGAGGGGAGTCAGATAATGCATGGAAGGTACGTATTGGTAACATGTTCCTCGAGACAAATACTCAATAACACATACACAACATTATAATTATGATTTAATTAAACCTATATTTCCTATTGCTAGGTTAAATACAACTGACTAAAATACTGCATGGGGTAAGACTAAACTTTAGGAATGCTCCAAGAGCAGTGTGATTATCACATGCTGAATCCGAGATAACGTCTGAATTCATTATACATCACAGAGAAAATAGAAAAATCACCTCCGCCGTTTTCTTCTTCTTCTTCCTTCTGAGCTCTGAGCAATTTGCGTTGTTTATTTTTATCATTTCTCTTCTGAATTTTCTTGCGGAGAATCTTCATCTGCATGTCCGCCATGGCTGTCGACAAACACGTGTGTGCGTGCTGCGTGGGGTCCTTCGCTCAGCTGACTGACACTTACTATGCCTGACTGAAAATATTAAAGACCTTTAAAAAAAAATACTTGGCATCGTTGGTTTCAGTCGATTTCAACAACACCGTGTATGTTTGATTTTGATTTCGCACGTGTGGTTGGAAACGCCCGAATGGTCATACCGCCCTGTCTTCTGTACTAAAATATTAAGACAAGATGCAAAGTAATGACTAAAAATACGTAAATGTATACAAGACCTAAGTAAAATAAAAAAATACAAAACTTAAATAACTAATATAAACTAGTGATGCAAAGTCCGATTCATTTAATTGAACCGGTTCAAAAAGCCGATTCATCAAGCAATAACGTCTCGCATTTCTTTTCTAACAACTCAATGCCATATGTTGTATCAATGAAAAATTCAAACAAGTCATTTGTGTCAACGCATATTGAAACATTCAAAAATAAAGTTGTTTGTGTGAAAGCATATAGCTGATTATTGCATTATTATCAATGGTGTTTGTGGTCAGTTTCATTCGCGGATCCTCAGATGCGACTGACTGACCAATATTCACTAGCCTACAACTTGGATAAGATTCCTAAAAGTGTCACACCTACAGCACACATTACAGACATTGATGCACAAACGTTCTACGTGTCTACAGTATAAAGAATGAATAAACCAGTCTTATAAACTCCTTGATTTCGCTTAAGCAACTTTACGTTGGTTGAATCGGCTCATTCGGTTCTTTTTTAGTTGGACGTGCTACTTCAGCTGTAGCACTAAAGTTCGATTCAGTTCGATTTGTGAACCGGCTCGACCGGTTACTTCCTGAGAACCGGCTCAAAAGAACGATTCGTTCAAGAACCTAACATCACTAATATAAACAGGTGAGAGTGGCTTTAGAGTTGTTGATTCTATCCTGTGTAGGGATGGAGCTTAACCAGCAGCAGTTTAATACATTTTAAAACTTAATTGTATGAGAAACATCGGCTTACATACACGCATATCGGTTCCGCTATAAAATACATAATTTTGCTTAATGAAGCACTGACGCTCCCTAGTGGTGGAATAGAGAAAATATCCTATCGATTATTATTATTATTATTATTAATGCTGTATCCACCCGTGTTTGTGGACTGACAATTATGAAATTTAACATGCTGTTCCTTACGGTGATTTTGATATAATTTTAAATTAATTAAAGTCGATCATAAAATTATTTTAAACATGACAACCTGAACAAGGACTGAAATAAACGTTTATTATTTATTATGTAGAAATTATTCAAATTATTTTCTTTTAATACATTTTACGATTGATGTGGCGTCGTTTCCACCACGAGTCACGAACACATGTTGAAAATGGAAATGTACAAAAAAAAAAAGGTAGAATTCTCCCTGTAATGCATACAACGTTAGTAGACAAATTAAACTACTAAAAGTGTTAAGTGTTTACTTACTAAAAATCCGCATTGCTCACATTAAACGCACCGAAAACTATTAGACCGACAAATTATTCAAGTAACTCAATTTTATGGTCTGCATGTGTTGCTAAGCACATTTGTCTTTTGTCTGTGCCGCTACATGGTTTGGGAAATCGCGAGGAACACAGTGGATTCAGAGCTGATCACTGAAGTGTGCCGCTTTCCACTTCATGGAGTAACACACAAAATCAGCCCTACAAGTTTACTCGACTATACTAACCTCATGACTACAGAGGAATTGGAGGAGAATCCGGGTAGAAACCAATGTCTTTTGTCAATAAACTCTCTGTTTCATAACCAGCACATTTCACAAGCTGAACCTAGACAACCTACTGATACACATTACATCCCACGGAAAAGATTTGTACGACAAAGCAAAAAAAAAACATCTGATTCGTAAAACTGCTGTACGCACATAATATAAACCTATAAGCTTTCTTTGTGCACTTGAAGTGACAGGTGTAACTCATCACATCTGTTAGTGGGGTGATCGAAAACGGTACAAATAAAACAAGTTCATTTGTAACACACTCGAACATAAACATTACATTTATGACGAGAACGTTTACTATTCAAATGTATATAACACTTATGGCATTTTCCCTACAAAATACGTTTTTAAAAGCTTATCAAACAGCAAGGTTCATCACGATAAGGTCACCAAACCAACGGGTGTTATTGTAGTTTTGTGAAAAATACATAATCATTAATCAGTTACAAAAATGCAAATCTCAAAAGCATTGTGTGAGAAAAAGCAAAGCAAAGCAAAACATCCTGAGCAATAACTTTATTTAGATATCTTCAGTCTGTGAGGAACAAAAGAATCAATTCACGCCAACATTACTGAGAGATCATCTTCTGCTAGCAATTATTTAGGGATCTGTAAAATCCATGTTTGTGCACAATAGTGGCATTAGTATTAACACCAATATCTATTTTATAAATGGCCAAGTTTTTAATTAGTATTTTTATTTTTTTTTTAGAAACGTATCACATAAAACTTATTAGATTAAACAGAAACATAAATATATGACTTTTTTTTTTTGCTAAGGTCATCTGCACTGTAAATCATGTATTTGCTATTTCGTATCAAATAATAAAACAAAAGAAAAAAAGGTTTGAAAAAAAGAATGCTACAATACCACTGTAATGTGATAAAAAATAATTACTTTAAAACAGAAATTTATAAACTGAACAAAATATAAAATAATTAATATTTTAATTCGTTTCCAGAAAACCTTTCACAACATTCTCTCTTTAAAATACATAACGGTCATCTACATCATACAAAAATGATCCACATTCATTCAGCTCACATTCCACCAGGTGATATTTAACTTAGAAACAGTCCAGTATTGTGAAAATCAGCCAAAGGCACCTGCAATGCTCCAGTAGTCTCAGGTCACTTCAGTACAACATGGTAGCCATCATTACATTCATCTGCCATCACATAAGAAAAAACGTAGCCAATATTAAATGTAGTGTACATGTAATGGAGATTCAGACATTCTGCGACTATTTCAGTGTTGTTTTTTGCTTAATGTTTTAAATAGTAACTTGTTTTTCACAAAGACATTCCATTCTGAGGACTTTTTAACAGTAGCCTGCTCAGTGAGCCATGAAGGTCACAAGTGTGTCACAACCAGATGCTGTATGCATTATATAGAACTTGTGCTTATCAAAGTGTTTGCATTTAATGTAAAGTCAGCAAATATTTAGCCCTCAACACTGTTCTTTTGTGCATGTGCAATGGCAATTTTCACCACATAACTCCAGCGCCCAATCAGTGTAGTTAAGATAAAAATAGCATGTCCATGAAGTTACCTTTCATAGTGCTGATAATGAAGCTACACTCCTCTGTAAAGTTCTGCACCATCTGAAAAAAAACAAATACATGTAGAGTGACCTAAATGCATTCTAACACAATTTACTGATTGTTTTAACAGTGTATGCTTGGGTTACTGTATTTCCTGGCACTCTGATCCATTTGAACAATCAGTAACTGATTTCAGTTATGAATTTAAGAAAAAGAGTGTTGCTAAAGGCCAAGCCTATCATGCTTTTTGTCTATTTTTAGAGTTTATGTCATGATTCACTTTACTGTATGGAAGAGAGCAGTGTCAACATTATACTAAACACCTTTTGTGTTTTACAAAAAAACAGAACATTTTATTTTTGGGTAAACTAATATGCAGCCCCGCACCTGACGTGGGAAAAAATATATATCATGGCCACAAACTAAGAATTAGTTCCCACAACATATTAATTTGTTCCCTCATTTTAATTAAATGGTGGCAACGTTGTACAAATACACTCCCTTGTTTTAATTAAATCAAACCAAGGTAACAAACTACTGGCCACAATTTAATAAAATGAGGGAATGTATTAAGTCATTGGAACAAATCCTTAATTTGGGACCTAAAATGACAGAACAAATTAATAAAATGAGGGAATGAGTTCTTCATTTGTGGCCACAATAAATATATTTTTGTCCGCATGTCATTTGTGGAGCTCCGTAAACTAATCATAAACATAAATGTAAAAAATATAGATACAAAATATACTCCTGATATAGAAATGTACACTACCCTTGGGGTCAATAAAATTTATTTTCCTCTTCTTTGTAAGAAATTAATACTTTTATTCAGCAATCAAGCACTGAATTGGTCAAAAGTGACAGTAAAGACATTTCTATTCATCAAAGAATCCCGAAAAAAACTATCAGTTTCCACAAAAATATTAAGCAGCTCAACTGTTTTCAATGTTGATAATAATAAAATGTTTCTTGAGCAGCCAATCAGCATATCAGAATACATTTCTGAAAAATCATGTAACACTGAAAACTGGAGGAATGGCTGCAAAAAAAAATCAGTTTTCCATCACAGGATTAAATTACACTTTAATATATGAATATATATTAAATATATTAAAATAGAAAAAAGTTATTTAAAATAATATTTCACAATATTACTGTTTTTACTGTATTTGTGATCAAATAAATGCAACCTTGTTGAACATTAGAGACTTCTTTCAATAGAATTAAAAAAAATCTTACCAACCCCAAACTTTTGGATGAACTACTCCTTGGACAAGTTATATAACCGACATTTCCCAAATGATCTGTAATCTCTGAAATGTTCTGACTCAATTTTAAGCACTCTCTGCCCTCTTACCTCATCTGAAACCAAGATGTGGATCCCCGTCGGCCCCTGTCTGTATACGCGACGGATTTGCTGTGAGGGAGCATTATATAGATTGGCTATCTTCTCAGTGAGCTCAAGGACAGTTAGGTCCTCTAGGTAGAGAGCATGGTACACTACAGACAAAAACAATTAGAGAATTAAGAATAGAAGTAACACTTGTTTTGCATGTCACAACTATCATAAAGGATGCTGTGACGTCTCCTACCATCCTCACCCACTGCTTTGGTGTGCAGTTGGTTCCTGTTCTGTAGCTGGGATACATAGACAGTGAGACGAGGTTGTATACACCTGGGTAACATTGACACAGACATGTTGGGTACATGTTTGGACACATTTTAGGATGAATAGCAAGTGTTTGAACAAATATACAGCTCACCTTCCTTTGATTGCATTGAAAAGACGGATGCCGTCAGCAGGACCACAGATCTGAATGAAATCTTCTCTACTCATTTTTAGCAGATCAGAACCTGAAACATTAACAAAGCAGCTCAAATAGTAGTATAATATTTAAAATGGTGACATTTCTAGTAGAACACAATGGCTCTGTTTCAACGCGTAGTATGTTATTACTGTGGGTGAAGTGAGAGAAATGTTGATTATAAAACCACTATTCAAAAGTTTGGCGTTGGGAACATTTACTTTGTAAATGTTCTTGAATAAAGTCTCTAATGCTCACCAAGGCTGCATTTATTACATCAAAATACAGTAAAAGCAGTAATATCGTGAAATATTTAAAGCAGCAATTACATTTTAAAATGTAATTTAATGATGAATTTTCAGCAGCCATTACTCCAGTCTTCAGTGCCACATGATCCAGTGCCACATGATTAGGTGCTCCAAGAATCATTTCTTATTATTATTAATGTTGAAGACGGTTGTACTGCTCAATATTTTTGTGGAAACTGATATTTTTCTGATATCTGTGATATCCTTTTTCCCCTGATTCTATAAGTATAAAAGAACACTGTTACCCCAAACTTACGAATGGTAGTGTATACTTTTTATCTATTAGATACTTAAAAAAAAAATACAAAATTCAATTATAAATCGGCTGTTTACCCAATATTTGTGTGCTCAGTGCATTTTATGCTTATCTGTGTATCACAAGTTCTTAATTTAGCAACATGTTAACTCTAAACTACTAAATAAAAAAAATACAAATAAAAAAACCCCTCTTTTTATAAACATGGTGCCTTAGTAGGCAGTTCGCTAGAATTTGTAACCAAGTCAATAGCTGTAATTCTCACTGAATATTTCAGCCCACCTGAGAAGCCAGAGAAGAGCCTGCAGAAAGAGGAGAACCTATTACCATGGAGCCACTGCTGCGTGTCCTGCATGGAGGACGATGGCAACAGGTGCTACATGGCAAAAAGAAGAAGAATAGCATCACCATGTCCTCAAATACAAACCTATAAAGATAAGAGAGCATGACATTAATGTTTTTAACCTGCCCGCTATACTTACATCCGAACAGCTGGGCAAATGTAGCTCCCCCTGCTGGTCTGGAGAGCAGTTTCTATAAACGCAATAAGACAGGAGAGCAGTTGCTAGTTATGTTTATGTATTCATGGTGTGATTTCCTACTGAATAAAGACTCACTCTTCTGGGAAGCTGTAAGAAGTGTGAGCGATGTGATAACCAGGAGATGGAGTGTTGCTTGTTCTGCTGACTGATGGGGCTTCAGGCCAAGGGGAGCACTGAAAGAAAAAGAAATAGTTTACCTATGTTAGGTGGCTGTTTCGGCCCCACCTCTTGACCTTATTCTCAATATGGGCTTCTTCGGTCCAACAAGCAATCATGTGAATTCTATTCACATCTTACTTGTGGGAGAGAGCTTAATATTTCACTATGGCCAGTCAAAGTAAAGAGGCACTCACAGGAGACATGGAAAATTCAGTAGTTATAGATGTTTGATGTAGACCGCTAGCTTGAAAGATCGCAATCATTAACATATGGACAGATACTTCAGCTAAAAGGGAAAATTGTCATCATTTACTTACTGATCTGATACTGTATTGTTTTCTGTCTTACTTGAAATACAAAATTACATATTACATACTGAAGATTATCAGTATTAAAAAAAATACTTTGCATGAAAATGAAAATGTATGGAATTTACTGCATGGTGCTTTTTTTGTTATTTTTAGAGCTGTATAAATCAAGATATAATTTCTTTGTATGGAAAGAGGATATTCTCAGACATTCTGTTTTATGGAAAGCAACAATACAGCTGTATGAAATGACATTATGATGTCTGATGACACAAACAAGCTCAAATGCTACCAAGGCAGATGTCTCACTTCAGTCAGCACTGTCGTTTTATAGGATGGTTGATATTTTTCTCTATACTGAGGACTCTTTTTCTCAATCTTCTCTCTGTCAGTCTTGAGTTTGCGATCTGCGCCTTTTGGCTTAAGGAGAGAGAAAAAAATCATAGGGATAGTTCACCCAAAAATGACAATTCTGTAATCATTTACTCACCCTCATTTTGTTACAAAACTGTATGACCTTCTTTTTTCTGTGGAACATAAAAGAAGGTATTTTGAGAAATGTCTGTGTTTTTTTGTTGTCCATAAAAATGACAGTCAATGGGGCCAATGTTGTTTGGTCCCCAACATTCTTCAAAATATCCTCTTTTGTGTTCCACAGAAGAAAAAATGCATGCAGGCCATGACGTGAGGGTGAGTAAAGTAACATCAAAATAAATAAAGTTATTTCACACATTTTCATTGTGTATTGGTTATCTTTTAAGAGTCTAAAAGATGCTCTACCTTGAAGACTTTGACCTGGCAGCTGGCAGAGAGCATGTGTTCAGTGTATTCTCCGTGCTCGCCGGCTGAGAAGGTGTCTATCTGAATGCGGAAGGGGACACCCTTCTCTCCACCATGTTTTCTAGGAGTGAACTCAGTGCTAATGCAGTTTACCTGGATATAAAGAAACATAAAAGTTACCACCAGTGTTACTCAGTTTAGAAAACTAGTATGGAGGTCAGGGAGAGATAAAACGTGCACCTGAATGAACACGGAGGCATTTTTGTCAGGATCCCAGAGAAACTCTATGGTGTTGAGCTGCAGTGGGTGGGCTCGAGGCTCCATTATGCCCACCGACAACGGGATATCTGAACATACCAAGTTGTACATTGTAAATCATATGACATATGTTTGCCACAATGCAGTTTGAAAACAAATTTTGGCAAGATGGTCCTTTAGAAAGGTCCTTTATTAGGAAAGCAGGTCCCACCTATATCCAAGATTCTGTCTCCTGGTCGGTTCCACCTCCATCCCTCCAGCTGCTGATGCTCTGTGTACTGCAGCCGCCGGTCATGGAAAACTACACGCACAATACTCTGAAAACAGCATAGGACAGTCTGATGTCAAGAGAGCATCACACATATCCCCATGACTAAAACCAAGTAGTATTTTCTTGCATTCTCTTCAGTATTTCATAACACAGCTCACATTTAAGACTTCAGTGTTTACTTTAATGATGCCACAAATGTTTACAATTATGTTACCACAAGTGTCAACTATGAACTTTCACATACAAGTGTATTGACTGCATTACATTTTTAATTTGGTATGTTGCATATTTTTTTGTCCCATTGACTATGGTGTATTTGTAGCTGTATATTGTCATTTATATATATTTTTTTATTTGTATATTAACAATATTGCTATAATCCAGAATATTTACATTTTGTATTTTTATATTGATGCTCACAAACAAACAAACAAACCTTGAATAGGCCTCTTGTTGGATAACAACCTAACAATTTACCATCAGTTGTTGAAAATGTAGAAAATTATGGGAGAATATTTCAAAGATCATCTTGTACTTCAGTATAAGAACATCTGGCCATCTGTACAAAACTTCACATTATCACTAATTCCATAAATACTGTACCACAATGTTTTACATTTTTTGGGGTTTAAACAGAAAAAACCCTATGTCTACTATTTAAAACTGCTACTATTTAGCAGTAATAGTATTTCTATTGTATAGAAAGGTGATGAACACTGAAACAAGGTTACATAGTGGAAATAACATAATTCCTTTAACCTACCTTTATATATTTACTGCTTATATCTGTATACTCCACTAGTTTCCTGTTAAGCATACGGATTTCATAGGACTGACCTATAGTGCATTAAAACAAGACAGATTAAAATGAAAAGGCAACTAATCAGATAAAATGCCAGTGAGAATTGTATGACTGTTTAAACACATTGACAGTACATTTTGTAATGTTGGTTTTACTGCCAATGCACAAATTATTTATATTATTATAATGTAAACAAAAAACCAACACAGAACTGAATGAATGTATAGGAACAAAATTATTTATAACCCTCAAAATAAAAAGTTAAAAATCACATTTACAGCAAAGACCGTTTATTGTGATTTTCTTGAAAGTTTTCTTAGGTTCACTCTTTATGTAGTGTGTTGTTGGTTTTAATATAGTCATGGACTTCAGACATAAACAACTTTTGGTTACACCATGAAGACAAAAGTACAGACTGATATGTACAAGGAAAAAAGTTATTCTCATAAATCGTAGTGCTTTGAATGCAGCATTAAATGCTGACTTAAGTTAAACAAGCACAATAAGGTTAGTCATTTAACATTACCTTGATTTAGATACGTGAGTGTTTCGTCCTGGAGTTTCACAGCTGGAGATGTGGCTGCACAAAGCACATGATGAAAAGGAGACACTCCGATCTCAGTGGACTGCTGCTCCTCCTCATGCTTGAGAAACGGAGCAAGAGCATCTCTGAGAGAGAACAAGAGAAGCAGAAAACGTCATGCCAAGTGACAATGGCACATTTTGAAGTACTTTGGAGACGCACAATAATGCAAGAATATGATATTTCAGAATTTGCTTTGCTATATATCCAAGTATCAATATATACTCAATACATTCACAAAAAGCAGAAAAAGATTAATTCAGAATGAAACGTAAATGTGACCCTGGACCACAAAAGCAGTCTCAAGTCGCTGGGGTATGTTTGTAGCAATAGCCAAAAATACATTGTATGGGTCAAAATTATAGATTTTTCCTTTATGCCAAAAATCATTAGGATATTAAGTAAAAATCATGTTCCATGAAGATATTTTGTAAATTTGATGATTTATACATCTCAATTTCGAAAAATTGACACTTGAGACTAGTTTTGTGGTCCAGAGTCACAAATGTCTACTTTGCACTCAAGAATAATTGCAGACGAGTGACGAGATTTACCTTGAAGTGGCTTTTCAGAAAACAAAAATTCTACTGGCTGATTATTGACTTGATTCTTACTTAATAAATGAGTCACCCAAGGTATCATACCTTTCCTTTATCTATATACAGTATGTATTTTATTTTTCTTAAAAAAACAAACAAAAAAAGTATTCAGGTATTTTTTAAAAACGGTTATTTGTTAGAAATTAAGTAATGTTAAATAATTATTTAACCATTAAAAAAAAAAAAAAAAGTAAAATAAAATTCAAAAAAATGTAAGACGACTGTCTAAAAAGCACTTACCGTATATAATTATTTTGCGCGTGCTGTTGGTAGGTTTCAGGATGGCTGTGCCAAAACAGCATACTCTCCAGTTCGATGACGTTCTTATCCAAAAAAATATGAGTAGCCAAGCACGTGGTCGCCGGTGAGGGAACCGTGAGGGCCGCAAAAGCTTTTCTGAGCCCAACGTGTCCGCAGTCTTTTATGCCCGCGTGACGGCCGTCAGGTGAGCTGTGAGTGTCCGTCACTCTGCCTGCATCCTCTGTCACCTGCACCGACGCTCTGACGGACTCTGCTGGACCGCTCGTTTAATAACAGACGCAGTCGGTAAAACTGACACGGTGTTGTTTTGGCACAGGCTGACTCTGACATCAAAGGTCAATAAGAAGTATCTGATAAATCATACTTTGCGTGCAGAATTGTGCGTGTGCGCGTCTTCTACATTTTCACATCTGTGCTGATGGAAAGCCTTGACATCATTGACAGAGGGCGATACTAAAACAAACGTAAATATTTTGGTGAATCTCACAAAAACTGTCAAGAATGTCCAGATTATATTTCACCCTAAAATAAAGTAAAACAAAAAGTCATACACATGTCAAAATCTATTTTGCATAAATAAAAATACACCTTACAAATACAAAAAAAAAAAAAAAACCTACTGTACTTGCCTTTTTTGCATTTTTGTGTTGTATTTAATAGTAGTTGATTATGATGAGTTTGATTAAATAAATCTTTGTGTCCAGACAGGATGACTCATTATTGTTTTACATAAAATTATATTTTTTTCCACATTGAATGTTTGAGGAAAATGTAATTTAGCACAATCTGCCGTCATAAAAATAAATTCACAATGCAAAATAAAAAAAAAAAATTATTTCGAATTATGTATATAACTTCATGTTTTGATTTTGAGGTGTTGTATAACCTGGTCAGTTCTTCAGCACTGGACATTTGTGGCACTGGACTAACTAGGACTGAATACACATTATCACATATGACTTAGTTTATAAATGTACTGGTGCATGAATTGTTGTTGTGAGTTGTTGATAGCACATTCAAAACCCTGACACATTTTAGTTTAAAATAATCATCACAATAAATTCATGTTTCTGGTTGTTTTAATTCTAGGCCAGACTTAGGTTGGTGTAAATCTATCACAAGCCTTTGAGAAGAAAAAAAAAGATAAAGAAAAAATAAAACCTGTACATTGGGACAGGAAATAAAAACAAATTTATAAATACAATAGCGTATCTGTCCAATAACAAAGTCTAACATGCGTAGTGAACAATTTGATGGAATACCATTAGAGGTCAACATTTGAGGAAAATCAAGGGGTTTAACTTAATACTTGCATTGTTGATCCTCACAGTTGAATTTGTTCGTTTTATTTTTATGAATAACCCCAGTCTAAACCAAAATGATGGTCCATGGTCTGAATCAGTTAAAATCCATTAGAAAGAAACGCTGCATCAAACAAGGGTACGCACACTTAGCATACCAATAAAAGCCACATGCCCCAGTATATAATACTTAAGGAAAGTAGGGTGCTTTCAAATGTCTGTCCTTAATTTCTAATATGGTCTGGTTCACAGCCTGAGGACAAACAGACATTTTGGTCAAATCTGTGAGACCCATTTGAGCTTTGCACTGGTCTACTTCCCCACCTGGGCAACATATTAATAATAACAATAATAATACTGTATTTACAGACCGACCAGACCGCTGATGTGGCACAAACAGCCAAACCTAGGTCAGTCACGGCAGCACAGGATGGTTACGTCATCAAAACATGCAGGCTATTTGTTAACGTGCAAAAGAGTGCAACACCTTTTTTACCTTAATTTTGTTTGTGTGTGTGTGTGTGTGTGGGGGGGGGGTGGGGGGGAGCAATGATTGAAAGGTATGTACAAAACAGTAAACGCCCAGCACTTAACATCAGATGGAAAAAAATCTCCAGATGAACAAGGAAAAAGAAAGAGTTCAGACCTTTCAGAGAACATCACATCACCTCTAGTTCTTGAGCCAGATTAGAGGGTTTTCATTATTAGCGTCGTAGACATGCTTTAGCAGTGTAGTACGAATGCCTGTGGACATGTATACAGTCTGAGTTTTGAAAACAGAAAAAGGAACGTAAGGCATAGTAGTTTTGAAATTTCCATCACAATCCTCTTGCTACAAGAACAAAGTGTAAATCGGTTTGATTTCATTAATTGTTTCTTGTCTGAAGATGCCCCTGGTCATGTTTCCAGCTCCACTGAGTGTGAACTTTTAAATATCCAAGTGTGTTGTGGCTTGCATGTTTACTCACAAAACCCTTTGCTTTTTTCCCCAAAGATGAAAGGAACAGCTCTACATTCAGAAGTTTGTCCTTGTATTCTGTAGTGTGGCCCACATTTTTAACACCTAATCCATCCTATAATAAAATCAACACAATTGCTTTACATTAGCCTTCTTAAAGACTTGGAAACAAACAATTTCCTACACTTTCAACATTATGGGATGTGGTATTGCGGTCCCATGAAATAAAAATGAATATAAGAATGTTTTAATCCTACATTTTTGTTTTTTTTGGGTTGTCATTGTAGCCAAACCTACAAATTACTTACATTTTTCTCTTTTCTTTACATTTATCACTCGGCCAGCCAAATGATCCACTAGCATTAATTGAAATTCAAGTGATGTATTAGTTAACCCAAATTGTGTCCATTTAAAATATCCTAATAACTCAATTAAACCTTTAACACCACTTGCAAACAAGAATAAGTTATTACTAATAAATGTAGTTAACGAATCACCTCTTCAGAAGCTGAAGATAGCTTGTTTGCTCCAATTATGGAAGCAATGCCAATCATGGAAGATCTGTTCCCTATCAAAAAGCCGGCATGCATTTTTCTCGATCCGAACCTCTTTACATTCAATGTTTCACAGATGGAAAGATGCATGAGACACTAAGAGGTTTCCAGGAGCTGGATGAAAAGAAAAGTTCTGATTGCAGTGAGCAACATATCTCTCTGGGAAAATCCAGCAAGACTGTGATGAAGCAATAAAAAAAAAAGGATTCTGGAGGAGGCACAACTATGTTCCCAAATGCACGTGTAGGGCACTGATTAGAGTACATCCGGCTAGCTGTGAGACGACATGTCTGAAGAACTGCTGCTGTTGCTGTTGGTAGTCTGGGCCCTCTTAATATACAGATTTAGCAACTTCATCTGTGGAAATAAAAGCCAGAGGGTGAATTTGAATACAGCATATGCTAATACTCATACAGACCACTGACTTGTTTCGCAGATAAGAGCATGTATTTGCACTTTCTAGTTATGTTATCTTAGAAGGTCATGGTTAATGTTTACTTCTGCATTTTGTCTAAAAATGTGAATGTTTTCTCTTAAGGGCAATGTAGGTGATTTCACAAAATATGATGCAACAAATTGACCATTTCACAGAAAAAATACTCAGTACTACACTGTATCAATATCAGTATTTTAAGTAAAATGTCATTAGTATAAACTTTATGAAATTTAAGGCAATTAAGCACAAATATCATTAATGTAAAACAAAAACAAAAAAAATTAATTTTCCGTTAAAAAAAGAAGAAGAATGGTTTAATAATTTAATAAAGATTTATTTAAATTCAAATGTTTACACACTATGGTAGCTTTAATTGTACTAATTTTAGTTTATGCTGATTTAAATAAAAGAAGAACAACAACAAAAAACACCATTACAGCTATGAGAAAGGTAGAATTTGTGCTTAATTATCTTGACAAATATATTACAATGCAAGAATTCATAATGGTCTGATTTTTTATTTTTTGAGAAATGTGATTTTGGGATGAAATATGACCTGAAAGAGTTGAATAATGAAATTCATCCCTTTAGTTTTTTGGTAACACTTTACAAGGTCTCAATTGTCATCATTAGTTGATGCATTAACTAACATGAACTAAGAACTAACAATATAATTGTACAGCATTTATTATCCTTTATGTTAGTTCACACTAGTACATTAACTAATGCTAACAGATACACCTTTTGATCTTAATAATGTATTAGTAAATGCTGAACTTAACATTAACTAAGATTAATAGATGCTGTATAAGTATTGTACATGTTGACTAATGTAGTTAACTAATGTTAACAAATGAAACCTTACTGTGCTGTGAAAGCCAAGTGCAATGAAAGTAGACCAAATACAAAAAACTTGGACCAGCTAAAAGCAGAGGAGGGCACAAATAAATAGAGGACTGAGTGATAAGCAGGCTGAACAGGGTGAACCTTTTGGTGGACTTTGAGTTGGCGTGCACGTGAACATACCTTGCTGCCCGTGAGCTGGGCCAAGTGTGGCTTCAGCTCCTCACCAATCACAGAGTAGATGGCCACCAAACAGAACACGCTGGCCTTGCGAACACTACTCTCTGTGTTATCATAGCCCTGCAGACAGATAGATGGTTTTAGCATTAACATCTTCACACACACACACGCACACATCATCAAAAGTGCAAAAGTACAAAGAAGGCATGTTGACTATGCTCCCAATCTTCCCAATGCAGACATTGCTAATATACTTAATACTGACCCAATTTTGTCCACTGGGGTGAACAAAAGTCACTGAACAGCTTCCTCTATCTCAATTCTCATTCTCCATTCTGGTACATGAAGTTTGGGTATATATGCAATGTTTGTAACTACTTGCCCAGACATTCTAAGATGTCTCTCTGACCATGATATAGCTGCAAAGTGACAGAAGTGGAGAGATGAATTTTTTACCATAAAATGCTGCTAATGTGCAATACTCACTTGTAGGAGGCCAGGGATGATATCTGGCAGCAGCTGATGCAGCGACTCCCTGGCAATGCGCTCAACCACTTTGCTCTGCATCTTAATAGCAGCTAGGTTGATGGGATAGTCTGCAGTCTGTACGATGGGACACAGCACTTTGATGCATTGCTCTGGGTGAATGGAGCTAGCCAACGTAGAGGCAGCCTCTTCAGCCGCCCTAACCACCTGCACATATAAGGTCAAGATGGCACTTGAGTGAGTTTGTTAAGTTTAACAGCCTGAGATCAAACATAAAACTGGTTGGGAAAAAATTGGTCACAGGCCACAGGCCAGTACTTCATTCATTTATTCATTTAGGTGTTGGATTTGTTGACTTGGGTCATCTCATTTTAGATGTAACCAAGGTGTTCAGTGTCCAGAGGCGCAGGTGTTGGATTTAAAAAGGGATTAAAGAGACCAATCAGCTCATTTTACTCTCAATGAGACCATTACAAAGAAAAAAATCACCTGGCCAGCTTGATTTCTCAGAAACAGTGTGGTCACATGTGAGAGGTATTATGGTGACAATGGAGTTAGGTTTAAAAGAATATATTTCCATACTAGAATAAATTCATGTACCATAAAACTAGGTTTAATCTGATTGCATTACTACAATATTATCACAGACTGCCATTCAAAAGTAAAAGAAATTAAAATTTTTATTCAGCAAAGATTAAAATGATCAAAAGTGACAGTAAAGACATTTATAATGTCATTATAATAAATGTATATTTCAAATAAATGCTGTTCTTTTGAATCCTTAAAAAATATATTAGTTTCCACAAAAATATTAAGCAGCACAACTTTTCAACATTTCCAGCTTATTAGAAAGATTGTGGATCTGAAGGGTTGTGTGTAGGGTTGTGACGGTGAGGAAATTTCCCCACCGGTTAATCGACGTGTGACAACACGGATAATACCGGTATCACCGTGGGGGCAGGGGCGTTCCCTCTTTTCCTCGCTTTCCTTCGCTTTTAAATAGCTTGTAAAAGCGGCATGCGCATTTTACTTTCACTTTCAAATAGCGGCAATTCGGAGTAAAGCAATTGTTTGTTTTTAGTTTGTTTGAATTTTCCCTCTTTTCCTCGCTTTCCTTCGCTTTTAAATAGCTTAAAAGCGCCGTGCGCATTTTACTTTCACTTTTGAATTAGCGGCAGTTCGGCATCAATTGCTTGAATGCAACAACAAAATACAACGTCACTTTAGTGTATATATAAAACATAGAACATTTATTAACAAAACAAATAAAAATACACCATGCTATAGGGCAGGCTATGCCTAATATAAAATAACAAATAACTTACATAAAGTTTAAATAGGTATACAAAACTGGAAATAGGCTAAGTAAACGTATAATATATATAACCAAATAAATAAGAAACGTAGAACGTTTATTAGCAAAACGAGTAAGAAAGCTTGGAGGCACGGCATACACCTTGATGTCAAACAAAATAAAAGTTTAAATAAAGTAAAAATCAGCAAACAATGTAAAACCAATTAAATAAGAAACAAATGTTTAAAAAAACTTCCAAAATCACCTTAGATAATCGGCAAAAGTCAACAGGCTTTTCAAAATCCAAAATATTGCCAAACAGGTGTTTTTGCATTTCATTTCGAAACTAAATCATCCGCGATCGTCTTGTCTGTCTCACCTCACTCTTCTTGTCAGTCAGCTCAACTCACTCTCCTCACTGGATAAATGAAATCTGATCTGTGATGCAACTGTCGTTCAACTGCATTGAGCAGCCGCGTTCAGTTTTTAATTGTAGTGTCTGTTCTTTTACTGAACTAAATTATTTTTATTACTATAAAATATCTAAACGACGGTGGGGGTCGGTGACGCAGTGGGCAAGTGACGTAACGGGTGTTGCGGCTTAACACCGGTATCACCGTCAGCACCGTCTATTGCGGCAAGCCTAGTTGTGTGATATTGAAGACTAGCGCAATGATGGCAGAAAATTTTGCTTTGCCATCACAGGAATAAATTACATTTTATAATACATTAAAATAGAAAAAGTGTTATTTTAAAATGTAAAAACATTTCACAATATTACTTTTATTACTGTATTTTTGATTAAAAATAAATGCAGCCTTTAAAAAAATATATTAAAATACATTAATTTATAATTATAGTATAATAATTTATGGATTTTGTCTTCATCACACATTATTATTAAAATTCTAGCTTTTAATATAATCAAAATATTTGTGAAAACTGCTAAGAATTAAAATGACAGAATACCCAATACATTTCGCCCCTGCTATAAGGCACAAACAACCCAAAGCAGCAATGTGATACTTTATTCACAACTTTTTGCAGTATAATCATCACAATATTGTACTGCCTTAATATCAACTGGAGGTTAAAACAGATATTAGTTGTGAATATTTTAAGGCGGCGGATTCTAACCTCTTTATGAGAGTCCTTATGGGCTTCTAGTGTCTTCATGATTGTGAGTTCTGCATAGTTCTTGAAGCGTGCTGGCTGGTTCCTCAGAATCTCCTTCAGAACCCGTAACGCCAGAGCACGGATAGTGTGCTTAATAATCAGACAGAATGCATACTATCATTATTAACCACTACAGATACACACAGACACAAAAATCAAATTGATATATGAAAAACTTTAGGACTATATAGAACGTGTAAATTGAGGATGCAAGTTATATGACGCTTTAACTCACATCCTTGTCCCCGAGTGTCTCCAATAGCAGCAATAGGATTGTTTTGAAGTGTTCGTCCCACACAGCCAGGCTGTCCTCACGAGCAATCTTCAACAGCTCGATCAAAGCCCCCTTCCTCTCCTCCACTCGGTCATTGTGATTAGACAACTCCTTCAGTAAGTCTGCCACCAGATCTGTATGATTCAAAATGATTCAAGTCAGAGCTGAAGACAAGCTGCATAAACAAACTGTTGCTCTATTTTAATTGTACTGAAGCACTTCGGCTTTTTTTCTGTTTTGAATATGATATTCTATATTATTGAATCTTATGAAAACTGTCAAGAACATGCCTGGGTAATATTTCACCTGAAAAGCTGAAAAAAAAAAAAGTTCTTAAAAACTATAAAAAAATAATTAAATATAACTAATAAAATATATATTTAATATACTAAATGTATTAAATATAAATAATAAAATAACTTTAAAATATTAAATTGTTAAGTATCTATACATTATGGCAGTACTTCAAATTTATTTAGGATTTTGTAGTGGCATTTTGTTTAATTCATATTTATAGTAATACCGTACACTAACAAAATACTAGATGACCGTAATTACAATTATCAATTAAATGAAATAATATAATGGAAACTGCAAAAAAAAAAAAAAGACAAAAAAAAAAAAGAAAACTTGGTTCTAATTTTTTTTTGTAAGATTCAACCTTCTATGTCATCATTATTAGCCAAGCAAAGTGCAAAGTAATACTGTTTAGACATTAGTTTTTGTTAGTAGTAAGAAAGGTTTCAGCATTCACTTAGGTTAATCACAGAGGTTAATCATATTTGCTTCCAAGTTATAATGAGTTACAACGTGTTTGCAAACAGTGAAGCTCTGTTAGTTGTAAACCAAAAGAAGAAAAAAATATAACTGCATACTCACTTTAGCACTGTTTATTTATTACCAACGTTTCGGCCAAACAAGTGGCCTTTGTCAAGGTTTTTCTTCATTAGTCTGCTCCTTTAACTTGCACCTCAAAAAGGTGTGCGTTTGCTTTACTACTTTATTAGTTGTTAACCAAAACACATGTGAATCAACACTATCGTCCCATATAATTAGAACATACAGTCACCTCCATGAATGACCCTATTGCCTTATATTATTGAAGGTGGCCTTTAGCAGTTATCACATGACCCTGTTACCAAAGCAATAGTGTCATTTAAGAAAGGTTGACATCACATCATATTGAGAAACTGAGATGGATGACACTGAAAGACAGGAGGTGGAAGGGTGGAAGTAAATGAAGAAAAGTGCAACAGTCTTGTTTAAGTGTGCAGGTCTTTACCAGGAGTAAAGCCCTTGGGCAGCACCATCTTGTTCTCACCACAGTCTTGCCGACGGCCTGTAGAAGGGGAGGGACAGGAGGGGTTGGGGAACAGCAGGGGAAATGATGACACACAAACTCCACTATCCTACGTGCTACACCTGCATCTCTGACACTTACGCTTACAGGGGGTTAATCACTTATTTATGTTTTGTTATGGTCTCTGGTCATCATGTTGCTCACACTGTCGAACAGCTTTAGAGTTGAAAGGTGTAATTTCTGCAGCAACAGTGTCTGCCCACTTTTGCAGCGATCTTGGTTAAAAAAAAAAACTTCATAAAATATTATAAATTGTTTCTATATAATTTTTCATTAAGATATTTATTTACTGTTTCTCCTTAAAAATATAAGTTGAAAGTGTAGGGATGATGAAAGAATGACTTTTTCAAGAAATATAATCAGGCCTAATCAGGTCTACTGTGTCTAAAATCTGTATTGAGTATCATGAGATCCAGTGCTCTATCTGTGGCCTAGTCATCTAATTTTTAGTATTTATACTTCGATTATTAAGATTCAGAATTTCTTGCTATTCTTGTTTTTCCTTGTTACACAATAACAGTCAATGGGAGCAGTATGGAGTACAGATGACGTGGAAGTGAAGGTATGAGCTTAGAGAGGCGTATTGACTCACAGTCTCGGAACTGCTCCACGTCGTCATCAAAAATGGCCTCCTTCAGGGCGCTTTTGTCATAGGCCGTGATCGTGTCTCCATAGCCATAGGGTGCAAACTCCCTTGACCGTGGCACAGCGAAAGACCGCGGGGACGGTGTGTTAAGCAAAGATGTCTTGTTATCCAAAGCGGTTCGACCCCCTTCCATTACATCCAACCCCAGTCTTGCATCAGACCCCGGAGAGAACCCTTCCTTCCCAGCCTAAAACAGGAAGAGAGAAA